GCTCAGGGACCTTGAGGAGCCGAGCTCTGTCCCCTCAGCTTTCCCGGCGCATTTATCTCTAATTCKGGATTTTTGGGGGCACATCCACCAGCCAGAGCTTATATTTAATGTTGTTTTGGGAGGTTTATTCAAAATCTTCAGTTTTCAGCGAGAATTGTGGGAAGAACTGGGGGTCTGAGCCACCTCAGACAGGCTGATAAAGGTTTATTCAAAATCTCGAGTTTCCAGCGAGAATTGTGGGAGGAACCGGGGGTTTAAGCTACCTTTATCAGCAGATAAAGGCATTTACAGCCCAGAGCCAGACGGGGAAATCCTACAAATCCCACAAACCCCTCACCCGAGGCCACCCGGTGTTCCAGGGTTGATGGAGCCAAGCCCAAGGGCTTTCCCAAACCTCGATTTCTGCAAATAAAGAGCTGCTGCTGTGCCTTTGGTGTGTTGGGTTCCTCAGGAGCCATCCTGATTATGGGGTGGGATAAAACCCCCAGCAGATTTATCCCTTCTCACATTTATGGCCGGTTCTCATATCCCCAGCAAACTGGTTTTTTTTTCCCACCCTGCAGCATTTCAGGGACGTTTTACAGCCGAAATTGGAATTTCCTCTGGGGTTTCGCCTCTTTTTCCTCCTCGTGGTGCTTTTGTCGGCTCCAAACCCCGGCTTTTTCCTTCCCCCAGTGCCCAGTGGGATTCTGGATGTGTGGTACCAGCAGCAGGACCTGGGCTCCGGCCAACAGAACCTCTCCATTTTTTGGAAGGTGAGTTCAGAAAAATCCCRGCAGAGGCAGCAGCCTCCCCCCTACTCCCAGGGAAMAATCCCTTCCCAATTTYCCATCCCTCCCCTKTGTCCCCAGCCCMTCTTCAGCTTTCCCAGCATTTTTTTTTGGCAAAGCAGGGAGCCAGAACCCCACGGAGCACACACAGAATTTGAGTTAAAACCCCCAGATTTGTGTAAATAATTCACCTCCCCACACYAAGAACCACCCTGGGAGTGAAAGCAGCGATTTTCACGTGGTTCTGTGAGCCCGGGGCTTGTGGCYTCAGCTCGCAGCGTTTATCTCGCACCACTTTCTTTATCAGGAGCGACTTCCTGCAGCATCATTCATTAAACGGGGCAAAAAARCTGCATTTAGGGCGTTCACAGCAGCTTCAAAGGCAAGGAATGAGAGTCAGCTGCACATCCTGCAAGAGATGAGCTCCTACCCTCKGGCAAAGACCCAAAAAAAACTCAAAAAAAAAGGTTTAAAGGAAGTTTTCAGAGTGGTTCCAGCACTGCCTCTGTCTTGAGGCACCAAAAATGCTGCAAAAGTTTTGTTTTTTGCCTTGTGCTTTGTGTGGCTGGGACAAAAATCAGCAAAATGAAAGAATTCGTGTCAGGTAGACTTCAGGAAAGTGAAACTGGGAGCGCTGCAGGCACCCGGAGGGGAGTTAGAGCCAGGGTGTGTCAAAGATGGATGCTCTCAGTGCTTCCATTTCAATGATTCTTCATCGTGGCTTTGAGGAAAATCCAGGTTTTTCCTCTCAAATCCAAACCTGCTCATTTGGACAAACCCAACTGGGCAGTAAATAATATTTTTTACCCCCTCTGTGTGAAAAGGGTGGCTCGATTTCAGCCCCAGGGCACGATTTTTTTACCCCAGGGTGAAAGGTTTATTCAAACCTGCTGCTGCTGGAAAAATCAGCACCTCCCAGTAAAGGAAATTAAGGAATTAAACGGGAAAAATAAATCATGGCGTGGGTTGGGCTGGAAGGG